AGGTGACCTCTTTGGTCTGAGCTTTTTATTAATACTTATAGCAGGTACATGTTTTATATAGACATATTTATAATGAAATATAAGATGAGTGTACAACTGACTACACATGTAACTTTTCTATATTATCTATTTAAGGAGTCCGCCTAAGGGTTCCCCACCAGTTGCCATATCTAACACCCTTGCTTAGATGTTTCATTTAAACCCTCCGATCTAACCTTAGTATTAATTTTACCAGGTCACAGACCTGACTATAATCCTTAGACTATTTTTATCCTCAAGGTAAATCTACCAGAGCAAGCTGTATTCTCTTTTATTATTAACCTGGTTTGACGCTATGGCTAAGACCAACATTTGCAGTCAGGGTTACTTCTTAAACTGCTATTATTCTTGTAAAGTTCACCAAAACCCTGATATTCATCTTTTTGACTTCTTCTTTATCATCTCCTACTAGTTGCAATTCAGAACTAACTGACTTCCCAGACTCCCAATCCAGATGGCCTATTATGGTATACTTATGTATTCTTTTCCTCTGGCAATTCTGGCAGCCTGGTTGGTTATATGCTTTTTTACACATCTTTGTCATCCAGTTTATCCAACAATTTCTATAAAGGTGTTTTATAGGTTTCCATCAATCCAATAGCATTATCGAAAGTTTGTATTACCTCTTTACTTGGAATTTCCAAGTAAGTTTCTGTCTCTTCAATTTCTTAGCCTTCTATGCCTGGTGGTCTTATCATGGGTTTGCCCAAAGCCTTATATGACACTGGTTTTACATTCCTCTATGTATATGTATTGTATAATATTATACTTTACATAGATGCTCCAAGCTTCCAATGTCAGGTGGGACCTGACTTGGTGTACCTAAGATTACAGATGCCCAAAACCCAACCGATTGGCAAGAGACAGTTACCATAATACAGATATAATTTCCAAAATTCATCATCCATGAGAATTGAACCTTAGACCTGCCACTTGAGGATTAATTACCTATTTACTTCACTAAGTCATCATACTTCTAGTTTATTATTTTAAATAACAATAATTATATATAATAATTACTAAAAATTTTGAATATAAATATATATTTAAAAGCTAATTTATAGCAAAAACATAAATGCTCATATACTAAAAATTCTCTTTAATAGTAAACATTCTTTGAAATAATGATAAAATATTATAAAAATATTATTGATATAAGTTTGATTTTTGGAATTACAGATATCTAAATCAAGATAACAATCTTTATCTGATTCAAGGTCATATAAAAAGTAACAGAAATGTTACTTATAATACTTATATTATTTCTGCTACTTCAGTTATATATATGTTAAATAACATATCAGCCTATTATTACATTTAGTTAATATATTAAGCATAAGAAATATCTTGTGTTTATATGGTACAAGCATTCTAAAGACATCTAAAATTGTTATTTCTCAATGATTAAATGCAAATTTGTCAAACAAATATGTAACTTTATAGTTACAATAAAGGTTTACAAAGTTATATATTTTTTTTTGCAAATTTGTACTTATTTAGTAAGAAATAACAATTTGAAAAAAATTCTTGAAACATTACTATATTAATGATCAGCAAGATTTCTTCAATTGTGACAAAAAAGCTATATGATATAATATTAATGTAACAATTTATACATATTATGTACATACTTAATCTGATATTATTATATACTAAAATAAATGAGATGAGGCAATAACAAGGTGGTACAAATATGATGTAACTAGAATGCTCACACTATAGCATAAATTAATTATATATAATTATAAATAAAATGTTTATTATAAATAAAAGATATTACTGTTTAAAAGAAAAGAAGGTTATTCTTATATAAATAAACCTTCAGAACTTAATAAAAATACAATTGTATATAATTAAGTATCTATCTCTTAATAGAAATAAAAATATAACCTTATACAACTAATAAACTTTCATTAATTTTATCATTCCTAGTATTTGCTTATAAACTACTACAACTACTTTTGTATGTTTATCACAAATCATATACAAGACCAATAATATAATAAAAAAAGTTCCAACTCTGATTCAATATAGAGTAATTTCAAGTTAAGATAGATAAGAGAAAACTAGATTAGTAAGAGAAGAGGTTAATGAAAAACACAAAAAAAGAAACAAGTACTTATCTACAAATAAACCAACTAGTCAAATTTAATATACTTTTTTTGACTTAGTTATTGTAGATTACACAAATGTTGGATTGGATTAATAACAAACTTGTCAATTTTTAAATTACACTAAATAAGATCTATATTCAATTTATATTAAATATATTTTAATATTATCTATTCTTATCTAATATCAAATAATTTTAAAAATTATAGTTATATAAATTATAAGGTTTAATATATTCTTACACTAAGAACCTAATGATATGTGATATAAATATAATAAATTATTATAATTAGATAAAAATCAAAATATATAATCATGTAAGAAACATTAGATTTCCTTTTCATTTTTGTTTCAAAATAAATTTATAGATTTTTTAAAATAGTACACCTGCACTATAGTGCCCTCCTTATATAATACAAATAAATGCACCTCTACATTCTGTGCCAGGTTATGTCGATCAATATGCAGTACAACGATAATTATGATGTAATCATGCAAGTGTAATATGATCGGTTGCACAGGTACTACACGGGTACTATAATCGGTTACACAAATACTATGATCAATTAATTTGTGTCAAATCGTAACGGTAATAACGAAAATGTTTCAGATTGTAATTTGTGTCAAATCGTAATAATGAAAATGTTTCAGATTGTAATAATTACAGACTTCAGTAAAAGTAATTTAGAGTCTAAATAAGTCAAATGATACATAAATGATGTAATTGTACATACATATTAAAAAAATCAATAAATATGAAATTCAATCATACAAATCGAACTTCTGCTTCATTATCTTGAATAAGACAAACATTCAGAAATATCGTCGTTTGTGTGGGGTAGAAGTTCGGTGATAAAGGAAAGATTTGATATTAGAAAGGTAGAGCGTAGAAAAGAATAAAAGTAGTGCATAAATAATAAAATACATACCTTCAAGCATTTAAAGCATTTAAAATGTAGTACCATTAAAATGTAGAGTATAACAGTAATTAAGCAATAAGGTCAAGAGTGTGTAATTAGTATGACTAGGTTGGAAATGTCAGTAATTAATAAATAAAAAAAATCATAAAAAAAACATAAAAAATAAAAAAAAAACATAAAAAAAAAATTCATAAAATCAAGAAAAAAAAAAAAAATTCAAAAAAAACATACATATAAAAAAACTAATTAGGAAGCGTCAGGCAATCAAAACAAAAAGACTCTAGTTTTATGTAAGTAACTAGTAAATTAAGAATTTTTTAGTTAATATTTTTTTTAAAATAGCAATTTATATCAACTTATATTACTTTAAAACAGCAGGATCAACCTTCTCATCCACGAAATGACTTTCGCATTTACTAATTGTATGGATAAGGATATGTTTGTAATGGGGGATACGTCTACAAATTATATGGAGGATACTTTTACAAATAATATGGAACATTATTTTACAAATTATACGGAAAATACGTTTACATATCATATGAAGAATTCATTTACCAACTCTATGTGGAATACGGAAGATACATTCTTAAATTATACGGAAAATACATCTATGAATAATGCAATGCAGATAAATGCTTCTAATACCCTAGCTGCTAATGAAGACACCAGAGTGGATAAAGACATAAGAATGGATAAAAGTATTGAAGTGAGTCAAAACTATGC